ACCCTAAACCCTGAACCCTAGTCCTTTGAACCCTTCATCTAAGGATCTGCTCCCTGCCGATCGTGAGTCGGAGTCTGGAGCGGCGGATCCAGGAGACCCCCCAAGAGGTTTCTTCAAGTTGGGGAGGGTTTAGGGTTTTGGGGAGGGTGTTACCGTATGTTTACTGCACACTTAAGAGGAGGGATCTGGTCTAAGAGACCTCATGATTAAGGATCCTACTACGTAGTCAAGAGGTTAATGGGAGATTTCAGAGCCGGACGTCCGGCTCCGCAGTTGTGGGTTTAGGGTTTAGGGTTTTATATATTTATATACTTCTTCTTTCAGAGCCGGACCGTTTCAATTGGCTTCGCTGTACTTTTTCCTGTTGCATGCAGAGCCGGATGTGCGAGGGCTTGTCGATTCCAGAGGTACTGACGTGCAAATCGTTCGTCATACGTGAGCTTGTCCCGGGTCTCGCTGAGCATGGGAGCCAAGAAGAGGGGAGGCGAGTCCGTGACCGCCAAGGCGCCACCTGCTCAGAGGCGGAAGGCTGAGCAAGCTTTGGCTGCTGCGGCCCCACCGCCGCCCGCCAGCAACTCGATCAATGCTAAGATCCAGTCGTTGCTCGCGCAGTGCGATGCTGACACTAGGGCTGCCTGGCCGGACGTGGTCACGGGTCCTGCCAGCAACAGCAGCGGAACAGCTGTGTATGACAAGAAGCTTGCCGCCTCCATGCTGGGCGGGCAGAAGCCGTACACAGCTTCAATTCCCTGGTTCTGGATTAACCACCTCATAGCTAACGATCCTACTAGTGTCGCACTGCATGAAACAAGCCGAAGGTGAGCAGCCACAGTTTGTGGTTCTTTGGTTTTGAGCCATGGCAAGTCTTGGGTCTTGGTTGCAACGCACTGTTACATGTTTAAGGTTTTAGGGTTTAGGCGTGTAGTCTTTCGGTGTCTAGGCTTAGGGCGACGACGATACGAATGACACTGCTGAAGATGCTGCTCCTCATCATGTTCCTTAACAGCCCGATGCAAGGAGAATTTGGAATAAATAGCACTCAGTTATGCCACCGAAAGTTGAGTCTCATTGTTAGAGCCCCTACCCTAAACCCTAAACCCTAAACTGTGGCTCCTTGCTACCCTGAAGCCCTAAGAATGGTCCGGTGTGGATAGGATTTCGGTGCTCCACCTTCTCAAGGATCCACGGGGAAGTGTGCGCAGTTTGGCAGGCGGAAAGCGAAATTCGCTTGCTCCTCTCTAAGATCACTTGAAGCCTAAGCCCTAAAGGCCCTATAACTGAAAATCCTAAGCCCCAGACCTGAAGATTAAACCCCCCAAAAGGCCCTCTCTAAGCCCCTCCTCAACCCTCGACCGCCACCAACTACCAGTGGGAGAAGATCAAGTCAATGTGTGATGCTGATGTGCAAGTGCGTAAAGCGATTGAAGCTTCCAAGGTGGAGCAAGGCACAGTGATCCCGAAAGCCTCAATCGTTGCACCCGTCATTTTGCCTAAGCAATCCGCCTACGCGCCAGTTGCTGTTTTCCGCATCCCAAGGAATCGGATGATGTGGAAATGGACTCATTATCTCCCACAGCAGCTTATGGCGTATCGCCAGCCTCAGCCCTACCAGTACCATCTTGTGAAACCCGAACTCCCTGAACCCTGAACCCTAAACAGTGTACTTAGTTCTCCAATACCCAACCTTTAAACTTTTCGGGTTCTGATATTCTAGTAGGAATGTGAATGTTTAACCTTCTATTTCACCGGCTTATTGGGGCAGTAAGTGAACGGTGTAGAGTTTAGGCTATCCCGTCAACCCCAAAGCCTCGACTCTTCAACCCACAATTCGGGTTTAGGGCTTAGGGTTTAGGGTTTAGGGTTTAGGGTTTAGGGTTGAAGGATCGCATGGATTCCTTTAAACCCTGAACCCAAAATTGTCGAACACCCCAAGCCCTAAACCCCACAAACCTCGAAACCCTGAAAGCCTTAGACAATTTCGAAGGATCACAAGGACTCACACACCTCTAAACCCTCAAAGCCCTAAACATTTTGGAAGATATGGTAACATGTAACAAATTATCATATCGTATAATATAAATAAAAGCAGACCATAATATATATATATATATATATATATATATATCAATTATATATATATATATATATAGATATTTATTAGATAAGAATATAGCAAAAAATACTGTAACATGTCCCCAAAAAGCCGAAGGATCACAAGGATTTCTTTGAGTTGCACGGCTGCGCGGCGGTCCAGAGGCCTCTGATGGGTCTGGGGACCCCTCT